TTTAAGAGTTTAAGAGTTTTTAAGAGTTTTTAGCCAAATGCTTTATAATATAGTATAGATAGTATAGATATAGATATAAATTTTCTATTTAATAAATATAATGTTATTAAAAGTACCTTAATTGCTTAGAAAATATATGAAAAGTAGCTTCCTTGTAGAATTGGGAAATCCCAAAATTTGCGTATTCCCTTCCGTGTAGGAATCAAAATCCCCCTTCCCTCACCCTTTCTTCTATCCAATTTCAATCTCTCCTCTTAAAATAAACCCTAAATCAGTTGGATTTTACCCAATTTCTCCAATCATTCTCTCTTGATTTTGACAGGTAAACCCTTAATTTTGAATTCTTTTTCTTTTGCGTTCTTATTTGGGTTTAATTGTAGCAACTCTTTCACGTTTAATTCATTTATTTTCCTCCAAATTTGTTGTTCGTTGGTTGATCGTATCGTAAAGATTCAACCCCTTTTTGGGTTTCCTGGTGATCTGTCTTTTTGTTGTAATGTTGTTCAAATGCTTGAAATTTGCAGAAACGAATCAGAGTGCAGCCATGGTTAAATGCTCCTTCAAGCTTGATCATCCTTTGGGTATTGTGCCATTGATTCCGATCTCTGTTTCCATTGTGTTTTTGATGTTTTTATTCCGCAATTAGGGTTAAATCTTTTGGTTAATTGGTGAATTAAGCATGAGTAATCTTAATTATTTGAGTAAAGGGTTGATTAGGGTTAAATCTTTTGTTTTTGATTACTTGCAACCCCAACCGACCTTACATGAAACCTGCACCCTAGGGCGGGGCGGACGGTTATGGTGCATACCGTGGCACGGACCACTGGGCTGTTCATTCGTACTCTTTTGGGTGCAACCATGGTCAAATGGTATCACCAATAGACCAATCTATGGCTTCGTATTTTATGGTCAAATGGTATCACCACTTGAAAACATTTCTAGGTCCGTCTCTGCGTAGGAACCACAAGTGAGGAGGTATTTCAGAGTTGACTCGTCAACTGAGGCTAGTAGAGGGGTTCAAGCCCGTCTTCTGCAGGATTCCATTAGAGGGCATGTTATATATTGATGTAGGATCCGTATTGAATTATCGTTGTGAAACTATAACAATAATTCAAGTTTTTGAATCTCGTTCATATTAACCGTTGCTAGTAGCATGTCATCCACATATAAGAAAGAGCGATAACCCATCGTCACAATTCTTGTTCTTGTAGTATACGTAGCTATCATTGGTGCACCTTGACGACTTGTTTATGTACCATTGCCTGGGAGACTGTTTGAGGCCATAAAGGGGTTTCTTCAATTTACATACGTAGTTTTCTTTACCAGAAACTACAAACGCTTTCGGTTGTGGCATGAAAATGTCTTCAAGCTCCCGTTCAAAAACGTATTCGTTATGTCTGATTGCTCAAGTTCAAAATCATTAGATGCAACTATCCCTAGTAATGCTCGTATAGAAGTATGTTCGACAACAGAGACCTGGAATTTGACTATACCCTTTGGCTACTGACCGAACTTTATACCTTGGTCCCTTTTTTTTTATTAACCTGGATATCCAACCCGCTATGCGAGCCGACTAATTTCAGGGCGACCACCTGCTTTGCGGGTAGCCTGGAGTCACCGTATTTGAACCTCTGTGGCCACAAGGGGATTTGTATTCCTCCTTGGATTTGAACCTGGGACCTCCAGGCACTTTTGACATTTGGAGCCCAAGCTCAAAGATCCTATCGCATATTTTTAGGGATAAAACAATCTTGAAAGTTGGAAAATGTAATCTTGCTCTCATCTCTAATGAAATTTAGTTTGTTTTTATTTACGTAGAGAAACGGTTGGCTGAATCCTCTCGCATCAGAGAGAAGTATCCCGATAGAGTACCGGTAAGACATTCCGTTTCTTTACCATCAATGTTTACGATATCATCCATCTCTTAAGTCCCCGGTTTCAGGTGATCGTCGAGAGAGCGGAGAAAACCGACATTCCCGACATAGACAAAAAGAAGTATGTCAAAATTTACCCTTTTTTTTTGTAGTATGAAAGTTAAAATGACGTATATATTTTTGGGCTAATTGTGGGTGTCCGGGCCAGTTCATGTGCATATCGACTAATCTCATGGGTCCCTGAAAATAACAGCCAGGAAAATCTTCAGTGGCCCAAGGGAGACTTGGACCGGGGCCCAATGCCAAGTCTTTATTTATCGGTTGAGCTGAATCTCAAGGTTAATGATGTAAATTCTTGCATTGCAGATATCTAGTACCGGCTGATTTGACCGTTGGTCAATTCGTTTATGTGGTTCGTAAGAGGATCAAGCTTAGCGCTGAGAAGGCTATATTCGTTTTCGTCAAGAACATGCTCCCACCGACCGGTGAGGGCCAAATCTTATTTTTAAGTATCTCATTATCATGCAATATTTAATCACAAGCCTGTGTTTTCACTGAAACAACTGTTTTACTTTTTGGGTAGAAGAGGTCAGGTCTGCTTACATCTTACCGTCAGCAGACTCCATGTCCAGATGGGATATACTGGGTTCGTTTGGTTTGGTTTGGTCTGTTCATGTTTAGGATGTATTCGAGCTAAATTTAGCCCGAGTTTACTTACAAACCAGACCAAACGAACCCATTATGTCCCACCTGGGTTTGGACCATGGTGAACCAGGGGCACCATCTTTTGAGCTTGTGACCGTCTTTCTTCACGATGAATTCTTAATTCCAATTGCTTTTCGATTGCCAAACAGCTGCTTTGATGTCGGCAATTTACGAGGAAAACAAGGACGAAGATGGGTTCCTCTACATGAGCTATAGCGGCGAAAACACATTTGGATTTCAAGAAATGCAGTAATGGTCGATGTGTTACGAACAAATTCTAAAATGTAAATTCTTCCGTCTTTAAACATGATTGACTTCAAATACACGACTATAATGCATTAGATTCGATCGTTATAGTCTTTGATTCACGTGTGTCGTATTCGATCGTTCTTACGGCATGGCATTGCCTGCTGGTTCGTATCACTAATGGCCGTCGTTATATGATTCGTGTGTGTTGTATTTAAATACGGTCCTTGTATCGCATAATCTTGTTAACACGATTATTGTACAACTTATCAGCTAGTTTTTACCAGACATTATTATTTATTAACTATTTTTAACATTATTAAAATAGCTACTTATTTAAGAATATTGCATATTTATTATTAAATAAATATTATCTCTAAAACAATGTCTAAATAAATGTATTAGTACATAGAATTTGTTGTTAGTTACACCAATTAAATAATATTTTATTTATTTGATTATAAATAACAGGAAAATATCTTTGTAAACTTGTAAAATTTATTTGAAACTTAGTATCGGTCGTTTACTAAATGTTTATCACGTCAGCATTACGATTATTGAGAATCTTAGGGGTCGTTTATCAAACGCTTACCTTACAGACCAATCTTACCCGGCAAGAGCAAGACAAGGACAAAGAGTCTTACCTGGTAAGTGAGTGCGACGACTCTTACCATGATAAGTGTTTACCGGATAAATTGTTGCATACAATGTTGTTTTGGTGAACTAAAATCTTACCTGATAAGTAAGTGATGGTGTTGAATTTTACAAGTAAGCACTTACTGGAAAAGTGTTTGATAAACGACCCTTAGTCTTACCCAATAAATGAGAGTAACGACTCTTGCCCAATAAAAGCTTACCCAACAAAAATGTTCATTTTAACAAACTAAATTTTTCTCCGGTAAGTCAAATGAAAGTATAGGACTTCTGCTGAGAAACACTTACCTTACCGCGTAAACATCGGATAAGTGGCCCCTAAAAGTCTAAACAAAAACCAATGAACTTTGATGTTTGGAATGATTAAGTCCTTGGACAATTTTTTGGAACAAATAAATCATTGAACAATTTTTTGGAACAAACAAGTCCTTGGACATTCTAAAACATGTTAAATAATTTCTTAGACTTTCTAAAACATGTTATATACATTCTTATGACGTATACAACTGGTTAACATGTTAAAATAATGGAAAGTCTGGAAAAAAAAGCCAATGGACTTTCATATTTGGAACGATTAAGTCCTTGAACATTTTTTGAAACAAAAAAATACTTAGATCTATAAAATGAAACAAATATACCAAAAAAATACTTACATTTAAAGTCTTCGATGATTATTGATGTTAGATCATCAAAGAAACATAAACGAATTTAGGTTGGAATTCTTGATTTTCATGAATTCCGACCCAAAAAAGGTTAATTTAACGACACCCAAGAGCAAAAATACGCTAACAAGAATCACAAGCATTCCTCTTATTTACCATTGAAAAACATCACATAAACCGTCTCTTAGTACGATGCTCTACACAGACGTTACGTGCCAAAAAAATGGCACGCAACTTTATTCATAGTGATTGCATCCTAAATTACACGATACCATACCATAAAGACGCTTAACGGAATCACTCTTTCTTGTGAAGTTCTTTCAGGAAGTCTTCGTTATCAACGAGAACCTATGATCAAACAATAAACGAAAAATTACATATTTTTTGTAATAATTTCAAAAAAGCCATGTTCGCCAATCATTAGCTAGCAGCTTCGAGCATCTCCAACAATTATGTTATAATTTTTTTTAAACAGATCATCAAAACTCAAAATCTTTATAAGAAATTGCATCTAATTCCAACAGCTACTCAAAATTTTAGCAATTCCAAGATTAATTATATTATGAAATTATTTTATAAATTCATTATCCCTATACATTTATAGAAAAATTATAAAATCATAACACATTTATGGGTTGTTTGGTTGGTTTTCCATTAAGTTATGTATGGATAAATATGTCTTGTATGGATTATGGAAGGAGACTGTGTTTTTTAACTGGAAGGGTCAAGTCTGTCTGCATAAAGTTTTTTTTTTTTTTTTTTATTAACATGGATATCCAATCCGTTATGCGAGCCGACTAATCTCAGGGCGACCACCTGCTTTGTAGATAGCGCGGAGTCACCACATTTGAACCTCTGTGGCCACAAAGGGGATTTTTATTCATCCTTGGATTTAAACGTGGGACCTCCTGATACTTTTGATTTTTGGAGCCAAGCTCAAACCAATCAGGCACCACCCTTGTGGTACTGTCTGCATAAAGTTCTGTCCTAAAACTTACTGAATAAGTCGTTTTCCATGTCATTAAGCCACAACCAAACAGTCATATATGTAGTTGGCCAAATAAGTTGCGAGTCTCATTCAGCCTATTAAGCTGCTAACAAACGGGCCCTGATTTCTCCAAATTCGGAAATTTCTACCTCCTTTCTTTTTTATCTCTATTTCAACATACATTTAGCATACATATTGGAGCAAAAAAAAAACTTCAAAATCTCTATTTTAGCATAGTTGTTGAAGCCGTTCTTACTGAAAAAGTCTCGTTTGGTCGTCTATAAGTTAACTAATAAGCTAGCATGGGAAATTTTTCCCACCGTTTTCCAGTTTTGCCCTTTACATTTTTCTAATTAATTATTCCATATATCTTTTTAGGTAATTTTACATTATCAGCTAGCTTATTAGCCAACAACTACTTTTTCAGATATCAGCTAGTTTGCCAAACATAGCCTAAACGAGTTAAAAAAACACAATCACATACCGTTTTCCAACCATCAGGATCTAGGAACGCGGTGATTTTGGTATTGATCCCCGGAATTGGTCCGGCCTGCCTCGTTATCTTTCCGCCAAGCTCTTTTACGACATGATCGACTACTTCAGCACTTCTATACACATCGGTGGTACTAATTGCAACCTATAAACACCCTCGTTCAACATCATAAACCCCAAAAATATAGATAAATTGATGCAAAAAAAGGGTAAATAAACCGAAAGAAATCACGGAACTTGATGTACTATATTCACCTGTGCATATGCATTTCCTTTGGTATACTCAGTTACACCATAATTGTAAGTAAGCTCCAAAACAATGGTTTCCTTTTCTTCAGCATATCCCATCATTGCCAAAGTGTACTGTGTTCCAAACAATGCTTCAGTAACATAAAGTAGAGATGCACAAGGCCCGGGCCTTCCAAGCCCGTTTTCAGTGAGCAAAAATTAGGCCCCATTTTTTAAGTCCGGGCCTTTGGGGTTGAAAGAGGGCCAAATCAGGCTTTTTAAGTCCGGGCTTAGTCCCGGGCCTGCCCCCAAAATTTTGGCCTGACCGGGCTTCAGGCTCACTAGGCCCAGGTTTTTTCAGGCCAGGCCTGGGCCAGGTTTTGGGCTTGGGGAAACTGCAAAAGATCAAGACTTTACCTTTTGTTCTGGTCTATCAATTGTCCTACATAGTTTCATCCCTAGTGCCTGCACAAAATTGGACCAAGATATCAACTTCATATAAGGTATTAATTTGACATGGGTATTTTAGTAATTTGCTGTCTTGTCTCATGTCCAAGAATTTTGTTCCATCTATTTTAGCGGGAGTGAGTTATGCAGATGAAGGAATTGTGCAACGCTTTAGGGTTTTAAATTGACATGGGTAGTTTAGTAATTTGCCAATCTCATCTAAGGTCCAAGATTTTTGTTACACCTATTTTGATGGGACAAAATATATACTTTTGTCACACTCAGGTCGTGTCTTGTCCAAATCTACTGTCGCACCAAACGTGGGACAAACAAGTTTTTGTTTTTCATGTGTACCAACGCACCATAAAGGGTAAACACGTCTTTTCCGTGAAGACCACCTCATCAACAATCGCCCCCCTCAAAAAAATTCGCTCCCCTAGGGGCGGGTGGTTCTTTCGAATGTGAACTTGATGGAAAAGTGTACCTTTTCATAGAACTTGATGGAGCGATCAAGATCACCAACACGAAGCATTACTTGACATAGAGGTTCAGGAGTCGAACCCCTTTCGATGAGTTCAAAAAGGTAACCATCGGGATCTTTAGCAAAAGCAATTACACTCGATCCACCTTTAACTGGACCTGGTTCCCTTGTGATGGTTCCGCCTTTAGCCTTGATGGTTTCAGCAAGCTTGTAAACCTAACAAAAGAACGCCATTTTTAGCACTAAAAAATCAACCAAATCAACATCGTATAATGAGATATCATAACACATACATCTCCGGTAGCAATTGCAAAATGACCAAATCCGGTTCCAATGTCGTACTTATCCACTCCGTAATCTGTGCATTAACGTAAACCAGCCACAAATAAGCACGATATTTATTATAAAATAAACCAAACCAAACCAAACAAACTCAGTATATCCCACTCGAGAGTAGGATCTGGGAGGGGTAAGATGTACACAAACCTTACCTCAATCACTAGAATCGAGAGGTTGTTTCCGTGAAGAAGCAAGCAATAAGATATGTAGTATAACAGATAATCGGAAAATGTAACAGATAGAAGAATGATTCAATGGTGTGCAAGAAGACAATGTATTCAAGTAAAAGGTGATATTTTTTATAAGAATTATGAACCCAAAATACGGAAACAATTAGATTGAAATATTTAGGAACATACTATACGTAAGCTCCACAGCGAAGTGTGATTCTTCGGGGCCGAATCCAAGAAACGCATTCGAGTATTTTTCCTCGGGTATGTCCCTTTGCCTAAGTAATTTCATTCCAAAGGCTTCGGTGTAAAACCTGATACAAACAAATAAAACACTAAGGGGCTGTTTGGTTGGTTTTCCATCAAGTCTTGTATGGATAAAGTTGTTTGTGTGGATTAATCTGTCTGCATAGATTGGAAATGCTTTTGTTTGGGAGGGTTTTTCATAGATGAAAGGAGCTTGTTTTTTAAGTAGGAGGGGCAGCTTTGGAAAAAAAAACTTGGCTTTCTGCATAAAGCTCCCCCTGGAAGCTTACTGCATAAGCCACTTTCTATATTATCAAGCCACTGCCAAATAGTTATGTATAGCTGAGCGAATAAGCTGTGAGTCCCATTAAGCTCATTAAGCTGCTAACCAACAGGCCCTTAGGGGCAGTTTGGTTGGTTTTCCATTAAGTCCTGTATGGATAAAGTTGTCTGTATGGATTAATCTGTTTGTGTAGATTGGGAATTTTTTTGTTTATGAGGGTTTTTTTATAAATGGAATGAGTGTGTTTTTTAATTGGGAGGGGAAGGTTTGGAAAAAACCTGACTTCCTGTATAAAGCTCCCCCTAGAAACTTACCGAGTAAGCCACTTGCAATATCATTAAGCCCCTACCAAACAGTCATGTATAGCTGACTGAATAAGCTATGAGTCCCATTAAGCTGCTAACAAACATGCCCTAATACTCTAATAACGGGATGAACATTCTAACACTTTGAGATGGTAAAACGTACTTAATGCTGCGGTGAAGGTCACCAACACGATAGACGGCATGTAAGAAACGACGCTTATCTTTCTTTGGGAACTCCAACAACTCCGCACTTGGGACATTGGATGCAGCCTCAGCCATGATTGAAAACGTTCGATTGCTACTCTGCTCATAGATACACACTCGAATCAGAAGATTGAAAAAACAAATGCCTACTTTCCAATTCCACCCTTAGTTTCGAGATGAAGAAATTTATTACTCCCTCTATTATTAAGGGTACAATTGTCGTTTAGTTAATTAAAAGGTGTAATAGTTACATCAGTTCCACGACAATATACACATGGTCTTTTAAACTTGAACCTTATAGAAAACATACCTGACAAAATCGAAAGAAAGTTTTGATTTTAGAACCAAAAAGATGTTCTTTTTGTCGATCAACAAGAAACCCAAAACCGAAAATGCGATTTAACAGACGGAAATCAACAATTTGAGGCAATTTATGCAGAATCAAATAGAACCATGAACTGGGATCACTCGAGATTGATAGCTATTATGCAACCATTAAAGATTGACTTCTGTTTAAAGATAATTTTATCACAAATCATATGGCAAAGCTTATAAATAACGATAAAGACTCAAAAATAGAAGATTAGCATAAGTTTCATGATGAATTGTTCGATTTCCAAAGTGGGTATGCCATTTAATTTGTGCAAGATCCAACCTTTTGAAGTATATGACTGTAAATCCTAATTTTAGAGCAGATGTATATGATTGTAAGCCCTAATTTTGCAGAAACTAGAGCAGATGTATATGATTGTAAGCCCTATTTTTTGCAGAAACTAGAGCAGACATATATGATTGTAAACCCTAATTTTGCAGAAACTAGGGCAGACGTATATGATTGTAAACCCTAATTTTTACAGAAACTAGAGCAGATACCAAAAGGGGTTTCGATTCACCAATCAACTAAGAACCCTAAACCTAAAAACAAGATTTCCAAGGGTTCAAATCCATCAATCTGCTAAGAACCCTAAACCTGAAAACCGAGAGTAAAGTGAGAAATTAAAGCGATTTTAGTAGAATTAAGCGACACCCAACAAGATTCTTCAACAAAGTAGCTGATTAAACCTGATTTTACATCATAAAAACGAATATAATATCAAGATTGATTGGTATTTCAGGAAAAGAGAGAAAGAGAGAACGCTTACACAGAGGCGATCAGTGGAGACTGAGCAGATGAGAGCTGTTTTCCCTTTTCTTCCCTTTAAGAAGAAAAAATCCCATACATTATAAAATTGAAGGATCATTTGCAAATATAAAAAATTAACCACAAATAAATAGGGTAAAATCTATAACTATAAATAAGTAATTTGAGTGACACGTGTCATTTTTTTGTAAGTCGATTTTATTGTTTTTTCGCCTAAACACGAATCTAGACACAATTTATATTGATGGTTCAATTAGACTTATTTGAATATATCTAGACACAATTTACACTAACAGTTCAATTATACTCATTTGATTTTCATATTGAAAAAATTTATTAGGACATTAAATTCATTGAATATTTTAATAAATATAATTAATGTTAAAATCTCCAAAAATAGAAAATCTGTTGGAGGTGAATATAATGTTTTTTTTTATAGATTTTAATTTTTGTTTTTCTGTACGCCAACGAACAAAAACAAATTAGGCTTCAAACTTGTGAACCGTGAGTTCTAGAGTTCACATCATAAAACATTAAACTGATAAAACATTTTTCCACAACACATTCAAACACAGACTGTATGAATCAGTTATAAAAGTACACACACGTATTCCTAGTTTTGAAAACAACTTGATTTCACATCAGCCCATTTGGTTTATATTTGGTTTAAGAACGGTTTACATGCACGTCTCACCACCTATATAATTAACATAAGATCCTTAAAACATATTTACTAAACCAAATGACATTTGGCTTAGCGGTATGTGAGTCTTTAGCCTTATAGGAGGTCAGAGGTTCAAACCTTATGGAAGGTGAGGAGAGTGTATGAGTTTATTTGTTCTATTTGTCGTATATAAATATTATATTCTTCAAAAAAAAAACATATTTATTGAACTTTCAACAACATGTTTACATAGTTAAATTACTTATTCGTTCGTTGACATGATAAATATTTTAACTGTATTGATTGTAATATGCACGATTATTATATTTTACTTCTATCAAATGGCATTTTCTGTATTTAACAGATAATCACACAATATTCAAAAACAGTCATTCCCTTTTATATTTATGTTTTATGTTACGTTACTCGTATAATTCTTATGACATCTTCTAAAAGATGAAGTACTCTTAAATGACGTGTACCTTACGTTAAAAGTTATCGACCGTCTTTTTCTTTAAACAGTGTGAGTTCCATCTTCGGTTCAACGATAGACCATTTTGATTCCATTTCACGATCAATAACTAAGTGGAAGCAACAATTATGTGAACGAAACCGAACCTTGTAAGGTGCGTATCTCAAAATTCGATATTTTCCTATCTTATCCTCACACAAAAAGTTAACAAAGAGCATATTCAGTATTCATAGACAACATACACAAACTACATGTGGGAATAAATTGAATCAAAAAATGATAGATAATATCCCGGTATACAGTCTCCTGAAAATATTCAACAAAAGACATAAACAAATCCACAATCTGTTTTATGTCAAGCAATACATGAGTAACTCCGGCTCCACACGACATTGCTCCGTCAGGCTTTCGCCCAGTAGAAACTGTAGCAGTTAAGAAATTGTCGCCTTCCAAATAGCAGCACGATGCTTGTATTGCTCTCCCACAACTGCATTTTCACGGTTTAGACTGCTCCCATTTCGCTCGTCACAATCTGTTTTATTTGAATATTTAGTCCATAAGAAAAAACCGAAATTTTGAACTTTTATTTATTCTATTAACGATAATACTGAACAATAAGAAAAGACATATCTGATTCTTATAAAATAATAAATTTATAAATTATATAAAATTTAATATTTTTTATAAAATAGACATAAGAATGATTACATCCACATGTTTTGCATAATCTATGTGTGGCTTCTTGTCTTTCTTTCTCTTTTTAAGTTATTGGTCCACATGATATTCTACAACAATTATTTGATGATTAAACTTGTGCCATTATTCCAATAAGAAGAATATTCTTGGGCAACTTGAAAATAAAAAATAAAATACAATATATATATATATATATATATATATACACGTATGTATATGTATGTATGTATATATGTATGTATGTATGTATACTAAAAAGGTATTCGTGCAATACATCAAAACACATCTCGATTTCACTGTTTAGTTTTATTCATTTTTTATGTCGATATGATACGGTTTTATATGGTTTTGAGAACGAAATAATATTTTTATTTTTGAATAAAATATAAATTCGAAAATATCATAGAATTTTGAATAAAATATATCAATATTAATATCAAATTAACTACTTAAAAGTTTTTGTTTTTTTGTGTAATTTATTTAATTAAATTCTTTTTATAATTTCATTTAGGTTTAGTAACGGAGTAATTTAATTTAGGTTTGATAATATAACTTTTTATAAAGATAATAATTAATTATTTTGTTAAGATTCAATGATTATCCTAATTATAATTTAGATTATGTATATTTAAAATGAGATATTTATCTTGTATTTGATTATATTTATCTGTCATTAATTACACAAATTCAAATATGGAGTTTTAATAAGTTGTACTTATGCATAATTTACTTGTAATATTGAAGTTTAAGTAATATGCATCAATAAACAGTATTTCGTGCATAAAAATGTTTTTTTAAAAGTTTTTATCAAATGTTGTATAATATATATATATATATATATATATAATATATATATATTATAGATCTTCACAGTGTTTTTCCTGTGAATGTTCGTTTTTTTGCCTTCACAACGTTTTGCTGTGAAGCTTCAAGTCTAAAAAGATGGTCTCATGAAAATAATATGGTCTCACGTGAACCCAACCTTATTATGTGTATATATATATATACACACACATTATTTGTCTCAAAACTAGTGTTTATATTTTCACTTTAATTTATTCTAAAATAATAGTTCGCTTTTAAAAGTGTATATTCACTTTCTTTTAACTACCCTTAATTATAAGATGTATAAAATTTCTCTCTAATATTCATAATAATTGTCTTTTGATTAATTAAAAAGTGTAAGCATTACACATTTTTAAAACCGTGTGTCATTTTCATTGTGGACATTATAATTCTTATACGTTTTGTTACACAAAAATAAATAAAGACGTTTGATTTGATACCCGGCATAAAAAATTATTTGATTAATGATCAAGTACAATAATATTCGTTAAAAAGGCCAAATTTACAGTATAAAATCAGACATTTTCAATCTAAACAAATGAAAATGACAGATATACCCCTTTGTTTTGATTGAATCAAAAGCTAAACTAAAGTTTCTGAGGTCATATTTTCTTTTTACAATTTAGAAACGATAATGCATTATGTATGGATACTCACTCATTTTGTATTAAAAACGTAATTACAAAGATGATCGTTGTGGTTTGGAGAAACTACGGGTTTTGTCCCTCTGGTTCAGTAACACGCCAATAACCCTATGGTTTGCATTTCGTTACGAAAATCATGCATGACCCTTAACGACCGTTATTAACGCACAAGTTTTCCAAAGTTTCAAGTTAACTACTAAACCTACAAAAACAACAAGCATACGTTATTAACGCAAGAATGAGCGGTATAATACTTTATAGAAACAAGTATTTTGTTAAAACTCGACTTGTAAACCTGCATATATGCTTCGAGTTCACATTGCTCTGGCAACGACTGAGGCGCCAAAGATGGCGATAACATCGAGTAGTACATTTGGATCCATTGGCGTACCAAAAGCACGATCATAGTACTGGTACTCGTAAGGTTCAAGGATCCTCATATAATGGAGTGATAGGCTTCCCACGCTCGTAGTCTCCATTTACAGAGTGGCACTTGTCTTCAGAGATGAAGACGAAAGGAGAAGAGATATGGGAGATGAAAACATGAAAATGACCAAAATGCCCCTACACGATTTGTACATGAGGGGGGCACTTAACAATTGCCGCTAATGTTCCTAACAGTCATAGACGATTTTAACAATGAAATGCAAACCAGAAGATTATCGGTGTAATTACTGAACTCAAAGGGTGAAAACCCGAGTTTCCCTAAACCGTATGGACGATGTTTTTAAAAAGAAGAAGAAAGTAGAAAGATGAAGATTCGGATTCGATTCGGTTTCATGTGATTTGACCAAAATACCCTTGTCTTTCCAAAAGAGAAATAAAAAGGTGAAAAAGGAAGATGCATGGGATGTTCATGAAAATCACTTTTGAACATTTTTCATTTTTATTATTGTTTAAATCAATATTTTATTTCCCAACACAAAATTCTATTTGGGCCGTTCAGCCCACCAAGTGACGTAAGCCGTTAGCTAAGGTCAAAAGTTTGACCCTCAACCACCGTTAGATATTGACATGTCACACCGTTTAGTGCGTGGTTTTTCTGTAAGAAAAACACACACACACGAAATCAAGAAAACGTCCAGATTCAATGAACCTCAAAGGCCGCCCTTCACCTTCGATAATCCGTTTTCTTCTCTGCTTATATATAGATTTCCCCCCTTCTTCACCCTTTTCATCATCAATTTCACAGATTTCAATCGATTTCGATTAGCTTGATTACCTTCTTCAATGGCGTTGGCTGTGACTGCTTCTTCTTCTTCTACTTCAATCGCCTTTTCTTCTAATTCTCGCAAAGAACAAGGTGAATTCATCGATCTTAATTATTAATTTACTGTTTCTATCGGTTAATTTTTGTGGGTTGTTTTGAATTTGGGATTTTTTTGATGATGGATTTGAATTTGTGTTGCAGGGGTTCAGTTCAGTTCTAGTAATTTTCAACCGTCAGATCGGTTTAATTCATCGCCGGCGGCTTTGAGTTTATCGCTGAAACGATCTATTGCGGTTAAGCCTTTGAATGCTGAACCTAAGAGGAACGATTCAATCGTTCCCTCTGCTGCCACCATTTTTGCTCCTGGTATATTTTCTTCTTCATCTAGGGTTCTTAATATTAATCAAGTAATTAGGACTAATTGGTGAAATTTGCTAATCAATAGGAACAATACTCCCCCTTTTGTCAAAATTAGTATGGATTTTGATAGAAATAATCACCAAGTTTTATTGGAATTTTGTAATTTTATATCAAATGTGAAGTTTAAAATTTGCCCTTTTGATCTCCAATTTGATCTTCTTTCATGGAATTGATTATGTTTTTTTAAAGGGGAATCATGCTTTTGCATTTTAGTTCAATTCCAGTGGTTGAATTGAATGATTTGAGGATTAAAACTGGTAAATTTTAGCTTTGGGAGAATGCCCATGTTGAATCAACAATGGAGAATGTCTGAATTGACCAAAATGCCCTATGTGTTGGTTGATTTTATATATATACATAAATGATTCGAGGATGTATAACTGGTAAATTTAGCTTTGGGAGAATTCCATGTAGAATCAACAATGGAGGATGTGTGAAAGGACCGAAATGCCCTTTGTGTTGGTTGATTATATATGATTGAATGATTTGAGGATGTATAGTATAGCTGGTAAATTTAGCTGAGAGAATTCCCATATTGAATGAACAATGGAGGATGTGTGAATTGACCAGAATGCCCTTTGTGTATACAGATGTGGAGAAAGCTGTAGGGATCGAGGACATTGAGAAATTGGCCAAGAATCTTGAAAAAGCTTCTCCACTTGAAATCATGGATAAAGCCCTTGAAAAATATGGGAATGATATTGCTATTGCTTTCAGGTAATAATCCCATCGTACAAGTTGTTTATGCATAGTTTACAAGTATCTAATGCATGCAAGATTGAATCTTTAACATCCCATTATCATTTTCTTGATTTCCAGTGGTGCTGAGGATGTTGCTTTGATTGAGTATGCCCACCTCACCGGACGTCCGTTTAGGGTTTTCAGTCTCGACACCGGTCGGTTAAACCCCGAAACGTATAAGTTCTTTGACACTGTGGAAAAGCACTACGGCATCCACATCGAGTACATGTTCCCGGATGCCGTAGAAGTTCAGGCCTTGGTGAGAACCAAAGGCCTGTTCTCGTTTTATGAAGATGGTCATCAAGAATGCTGCCGTGTAAGAAAGGTTCGACCTTTGAGGCGGGCATTGAAGGGTTTACGAGCCTGGATCACGGGTCAAAGAAAGGACCAGTCGCCCGGGACTCGGTCCGAAGTTCCGGTGGTTCAGGTCGATCCAGTTTTTGAAGGGATGGATGGTGGTTCGGGAAGCTTGGTGAAGTGGAACCCTGTGGCTAATGTAGCCGGAAACGATATATGGAACTTCCTCCGGACCATGGACGTGCCGGTTAACTCGTTGCACGCTCAGGGGTACGTGTCCATAGGGTGCGAGCCTTGCACCAGGTCGGTCTTGCCCGGTCAACACGAGCGTGAAGGAAGGTGGTGGTGGGAGGATGCTAAAGCTAAAGAATGTGGGCTGCATAAAGGAAACCTCAAGGAGGAAAGCGTTAATGGAAATGGAGCCGCTAACGGAAATTCGAGTTCAGCAAACTCCGATATCTTCGAGAGCCAAAACATCGTGAATTTGACTCGGCCTGGAATCGAAAATCTGGTCAAGATGGAAGATAGGAAAGAGCCATGGATGGTGGTTCTCTATGCACCATGGTGCCCCTTCTGTCAGGTACATGGATCTTTTCGGTCACAAAATGACACTTTTTTTTCTTTCAAATTAGCACAAAATAGTCGATCAATTACACAATGATTGCTTACTTGTGGGGGGTGTGTGTGTGTGTTGCAGGCAATGGAAGCATCGTATAATGAATTGGCTGATAAGTTAGCTGGAAGTGGCGTGAAGGTCGGGAAGTTTCAGGCGGATGGTGACCAAAAGGCGTATGCAAAACAAGAATTGCAGCTCGGGAGCTTTCCGACCATCCTTTTCTTCCCAAAACACGCGTCTCGACCGATCAAGTACCAGTCTGAGAAGAGAGACGTTGAGTCGTTGATGGGATTCATTAACGCTCTTAGATGATTTAAGCTCGTTTTTGGCTTTGGTGGATGTATAATGCTCGTATAGTTTCGTTGTTGGTAGTCCCGTTTTTGGTCGGAATTAAGTTTGGTTTTTGTAGGATTTAACGGTTATAAATTAAATGATCAACTTACGTTGACGGCGTTAATGGATGTGTTTAGTGTTTGAGCTCGAACTCGATACTGGTTTTAAATTACTTTCTTAAAACTTGAGTGGCTTGTATATAAGCTTGCTTTTTCCAAGGTAAAGTTCTACGAATCTTTTTGGAAGTTTTGTTACACCTATATAAATAGTAATAAATAAAACAATATAAAAATTAATATAATATGTTGTATTAAAAATCAAAAATCATTAAGGATAGGGGTGTTTATGGGTTGGTTTGATCGGGTCGAAAACATTTGAACAACCTAATTCAATGTTTGCGGTTTGAAAAATCTTAACCTAAACCAAACCAAAGTGCAACCCAACCCAACCCAACCCGTATGGGTTGGTTGGGTTAGTCAAGTTGATACTTTGACACTACGTTAAAATATTCTTCTAGCCTAAAATATGTTATTTTTCTACTCATAATTTCTTTTTCATCATCAACCATTTGATACAATTTATTCATATTTCTTACGTATATTACATTTAGTTAATTTTCTCAATTTACATATATATGTTCACAGTTACTGAACATATATACGAATGAGTTATATAGATATGTGAATAGATTGAAAAAATGTGTATATGAAGAGCATACATGTTGTAATTGTCTAGTGTATATATTAATAGAAATTCAACAATCATATTAAATCCAACAAATAAAAGGATATCAGGTTCATCAAGTTGAGTTGGATTCAAATAATATCAACCCAATACCTACAGATTAAAAATTTTACAACTCGACAAAACATCAGGTTGCTTCGGATTGAATTATTTCACGTTTGGTTGGGTTAAGTTGATCGGGTTAGTCGGGTTTTTGAACACCCCTAATTAAAGACACTAAAAATACAAGAAATATCAACTTAAAACCCGAAAAACATCCCTTGTAATCTATTGAAAACCCGAAAGGACCCTTAAAGTTAACTAAAAAAAGCTGAAGAAGTTTATTAGAATCAACCAAAAAACTTAAAAATCTTTGAAACAATTGAATTCGGTTTAAAACACACCTGACGATTGTGGGACATTAATCCACTTCAAAGATGCATATGTTCGACAAAAATCTTGTATCCGTCACTGTTCTATTACAAGGATGAAAATAGAAAATTTCAACAAACTATAGGGACTAAAAACGTAATTCACTCTAAAGAGAATCTATATCTATTACAAGACACAAAAGCATTAAACCATATAATTAGAACCACCATTAAAGTCCCCATTACTTTTACACAAATAAGTTCAAGAAATCTTTGGCAAAGGGAGGAATCAAATTCAAAAGTGCAAAGGCCAAAACTCCAACAAAAGTGGGTACCCAATGTCATTGCCATCGAGGGTATAATAGTCATTTACTTACCAAATCCAATGTTCTTCAATTACTCTCTAGAGATCTCACTAGTCAAACCTACTACAAATTTTTCTCAAAGATTTCTTACGATGCAACCTCTTCTTCTTCAACTGTCAAAGATAGAAGAACATGAAAGTTGCAGAGCTCAAGCTTCTCTTTAATGGCGGTTCTTGAGCTCTTTTCTCTCTTTTTCATCTTCTTTGCTGCATTTCCAGGTACAGAACTTAAGTTTTCCATGAACATAGTGAGAAATCTCAGAAAACCTAGTTCAATCTATCCATTTTCTGCTTAGAAATCTCAGAAACCCACATCAAGAAACCCCATTTTGGCACTCAAATTCACAAACCATACTTCAAAATTGCCATTTTTTGACCTTTTGGACACAAATTCAAGAAACCCACTTGAAAAAGACCCCTTTTTTGTTGAAGAAGCTATGAAATTTATGAAACCCTAATGCCATTTTTCTTATTTGGAAGTTTGTCAATGATTTATTGCCCAAAGTTGATGCTATGCAATCTCTCTTCTTGTTCAACTGCCACAGGTAGAAGAACATGAAACTTGCAGAGCTCAAGCTTCTCTTTAATGGCGGTTCTTGAACTCATTGCTCTCTTTCTCATCTTCTTTGCTGCATTTCCAGGTACACAACTCAAATTTCCCATAAACATTTTCAACCAATGCATATTCTGCTGAAAAGATCATAAATTCTCAGAAACCCACATCAAGAAACCCCTTTTTTGCACTCAAATTCGCAAACCCCACTTCAAATTTGCCATTTTTTGACCTTTTGGACACAAATTCAAGAAACCCACTTGAAAAAGACTCCATTTTTGTTGAAGAAATTATGAAATCTTTGAAACCCTAATGCCATTTTTCTTATTTACTTGCAGAGATTAATGCCCAACAAGCTAAAGATGAACCCTATGTGGGAGTTAACATAGGTACAGATGTATCAAACTTGCTCCCCCCAACAAAATTAGTTTCATTTTTGCAACAACAAAAGGTTACCCATGTCCGAATTTATGATTCCGACCCGGATATCCTCAAAGCCCTATCGAAAACCAAGATTCGGGTCATAATCTCAGTACCGAACAACCAAATCCTTGGAATCGGGTCATCCAACACCACCGCCGCCAACTGGATCAACCGGAATGTGGCTGCATTTTACCCCGATACCCTCATCACCGCCGTGGCTGTTGGTGATGAGGTGTTAACAACCGTCCCTTCGTTATCTTCCATGTTAATGGCAGCCATTGAAGCACTTTACAGTGCTTTAGTAGCTGCAAATTTGCATACCCAAATCAAGATTTCAACCCCACATGCTTCCAACATCATTCTTGATCCATTCCCACCTTCACAAGCCTATTTTAACCAAACCCTTTCGCCCGTTTTAGCTCAACTTCTTCGGTTTCTTTCGAGGACCAATTCGCCATTAATGATGAATCTATACCCTTACTATGTGTTTATGCAGAACAAAGGGGTGGTTCCTCTTGATAATTCGCTATTTAAGCCATTAACGCCTTCGAAAGAAATGGTTGATCCCAACACTTTGTTGCATTACACAAATGTTCTTGATGCCATGATTGATTCCGCCTACTCTTCAATGAAGAACTTGAACGTTTCCGATGTTCTGGTTCTTGTTACCGAAACCGGTTGGCCTTCAAAGGGGGATTCAAAAGAGACGTATGCAACGATTGACAACGCAGATACATATAATTCCAACTTGATTCGTCATATTTTCGACAGAAGTGGAACCCCATATCATCCTGAGGTCACTTCTAGTGTTTACATTTATGAATTGTTTAATGAGGATTTGAGGTCACCGCCGGTTTCCGAGGCGAATTGGGGACTTTTTCACGCGAATTCAACGCCGGTTTACTTGCTTCATGTGTCGGGAAGTGGTGAATTTTTGGCGAACGATACTACGAATCAGACTTTTTGTGTGGCAATGGAAGGAGTTGATGGTAAAACATTACAAACAGCTTTGGATTGGGCTTGTGGACCAGGAAGAGCAAATTGTTCAGAGATTCAACCAGGGGAGACTTGTTATTCACCAAATAATGTCAAGAATCATGCTTCTTATGCATTTGATAGTTATTATGAAAAAGAAGGAAGGGCTGCTGGTTCTTGTGATTTCAAAGGTGTGGCCATGATTACCACCACTGATCCAAGTAAGTACTTCCTTTCATTCTGCACAAATTCAGCTCTTAGAGGACGTTAGATATGTCTAAATGTCTTAATAGACTGCTTTATAGGACGTCAAATGTGTCTAAATGTCTTAGTAGATTGCTTTATAGGACATCAAATATGTTTAAAATATGTCTGAGGGTCTGATTGTTGGCAGCTTAATGGGACTCACAAGTCACAACTTATTCAGTCAACTACACATTACTATTTGGTAGTGGCTTAATGACATAGAAAGTGGCTTATTCAGTAAGCTTCTAGGGGGGGAGCTTTATGCAGAAAACCAAGTTTTTTACAAACATGCCCCTCCCAGTTAAAAACATGCTTCTTATGATTCATAGGATGCTACTACTGTGGAAAAACACTTATGAGTGGGTGTTTGCAGTGTTGTCCACTTATAAGACATAAAAACACACACTTGTCCTCTTTTTCTGACTGATGGAGTGATAGTAGTTGAAGCCATAGATTTACAATAATGCATTGAAAAAAACCCAAATCAAATGGACTCAGTGTATTTCACTCGAAAGTAGAGTCTGTCAGGTGAGATGTATGCAGCCCGTAAAACGGTTGTTCATGTGATCAATCATGCAATGGAAGTTGTACATTTTTCTCGTATGACCGTTTTACCCCTGAAAAAATAGTTCTTTATTGTAAAGAACTACACTACCAATTAGAGTTGGAATGCATTTTTTCTGTCCCATTAGACTGAGACATTACTGGACTTGAGTGGGACAAAAATGGTAAATTACTAAATTACCCATGTCAAATCAAAACTTTAAAACCTTCCAGAATTCTTTCACCCACCTACCTCATTCTCGCTGGCCTGTTTGGTTAGAGGCGGATCTAGAATTTTTTTTAAGTGGTGGCACCATTTGACTATAAAAAACAAAGGTATGGATTCTTTTATTTATAAAATCATCATTGGTTTGTTGGTTAGTTTCTTGCTTTTTGTACGGGAGGTACTACGTTCGGGTCTTTTATCCCAAAAAATTTCCGAAACATAATAAATCTGAAATTAAAAACTAAAAACTAATAAAATGATACAAACGGGATTCAAACCCGCACCTAGAAAAGGAAGAAAAGAACATGCAAACCAACTCTACCAAGAGAAACTTGTGTTATTATCCTAGTTTCAAAGAATACACAGTTCCACCCGACAAAATAATATGGTGACACTTTTCACGACCCTAAAGTTTTTCCACCCGTGCCACTCTATGCACCATAATGGGTCCGCCCCTATGTCCAGTCATGTCTGCATACAAGGTTGGTAAATTACTAAATTACCCTTGTCAGATTAAAACTCTAAAACCTTTTAGAATTCCTTCACCCACCTACCTATAGTCACATCCAGCCGTGTCCGCATACCAAACGGAAAAGGGAAAAGGGAAAGGGGAAAGATCTGCGTACATCCTGCCCCCCGCATGGGATTCACCGGGTTCGTTTGATTTAGTCGGAGAAGGGGAAACAAGATCCAAAATTGGATCTTCTATTCTCTATAAAGTATGCCCTTTTAGGTACATTCAAATTACTTTTAGAAAACTGAAATGAAAATAGACACCATATGAAGGGACCCATTGGTTTTGTATGTGTACAAAATGCTTCATTTAACTTGGTTTTTTGCTTTGGTGTGTGTACCCATTGCAGGTCACGGGGTCTGTATCTTTCCAGGAAGGTTAGCTACATTTTCTGCCATCTTTTTGTACCTTTATTTGTCCCATTTCTCATTTCCCCAAATCTATTATTGAAACTTGCAAGAATAATGTTGTTTTTTAGCAAGATTTGAGTAGTTAATCGTTGTTTTACGGAAACGTAAGCAAAGGGTAAATTGGGTATTTTCTTAGAGTAGATCTTTTGCCCGTTTAGCAAAGACTTGGAAGCGTCGAAGACATGATCTTTAGAGCGATAAAGGAGTAATCTTGCCCTGTATATTTTGCATAAATACCTGTTATAGGTTTGAAAAGCTGCTTCAGATGGCTTATTGGGGTTTTTTATTTACCTTTTTCCAATTATGCCCCTTGTATTACATATATGTCGTTTATTCATTTTACGTTGTCATCTAGCTTATCAGCTAGTTCTTAACAAACATGACTAGTTTCTTGAAAAAGCCTCGTTTGGTAAGTTATATAAGTTAACTTTGTAAAAAGCTATTTCGTATATTGGGTTTTTTTTTCCTGAGTATGCCCCTTATGTTTTACATAAATACCCTTTATATTTTCTTTTTGGGTCATTTTATATTGTCATCTAGCTTATCAATTAGTTTTTACTAAACGTGACTGGTTTCTTGAAGAAGTCTTGTTTGGGAAGTTATATAAGCTAGCTTTTTAAAAAGCTACTTGAAATAGCTTATTGAGTTAATTTTTTCTCACTTTTTCCAGTTATGCTCTTTATATTTTCATTTTAAGTCATTTTACATTGTTCATCTAGCTTTTTAGCCTGTTTTTACCAAACATGACTAGTTTATCAACCAACAGCAAGTTTGTCGAACATAGCCCAAGATTCGACAAATCAATTTCTCTTTCATAGACTTCCATTGTTCGTTCCAAGATTCGACCTTTCTTTAACATAACAACCCAAAGATTCATCTTGACGCCGTTTGAACGTGGTGCAGTAAGATCATAAGCAATAGAACGAACACGGTGGTGAACTCGACCAATGCAACAAGTGGGGTGGATGCATCAAGATTAATACGAACCACACGTTTTGACAGCGGTTTTCGGGGACTCGTTCTTGGTGTCGTGTTTTGTTTATTCGTTTGAAGGTAAACCCATGAACTTATTATGTCGATACTAAATGAAACCCTTTTCGGGTCGGTTTATGATGACGGTTTAGCGGCTTTTGCAGAAAAAAGAGAGAGAGATGAAGATGGAGGTTTTGATATATTTTTTTGGTATGGATTCAAATCTTTGTGTATAATGTTGTATGTAGTATTCATGGGGAAGGGACCAAAGAAAGAGTGGAAATGGTGGGAGTGAAGGGTTAATAAGTAGATAGAGTTTGAGCATGTGTTTATCCTGCATAAAGATAGCTTTTGCTCTACATTTTGGTTGTGTAATGAAGACTTTGAAAGTTCAAGAAGTATTGGTGTACCCTCTATTGTCTACAAGGCTTAGGTGGTGTGTGTTAGTTTGTTAGCAGCTTAATGAGCTTAATGGGAATCGCAGGTTACTCGGTTAGCTATGTATAATTGTTTGGTTATGGCTTAATGATATAGAAAGTGGTTTATTCGTTAAGCTTTTAGAGATGAGCTTTATGTAGAAAACCCAGTTTTCCAAACATGCTCCTTCCATCTATGAAAAAACTTTCCGAAACAAAATTATTTTCAATCTATACCGACAGATTAATTAACATATATAATTTTATTCATAAAAGAGTAATGAAAAACCAACCAAACAACCCTTTAGAGGACCTATAACCCTCTATTTCCCCTCCCCCATTTTTATATATATAGGGGCCTATTCAAGGGAGAACTGAGTTGTTTGTGGTAACTGTGAGAACCAATATTAACCACAAATCAATAGATAAATTAGGAAATTTATAAATTTGGTAATTTTAAATTAAAATCTTAATGTAAGGATATTTTTGGTATTTTAAAACTATCCTCTCTCCTCTCCTCTCTCCGGCCACCGTTCTCCGGCCTCCGGCCACCGTCCTCCGGTGATACCACTATGATACCACTGTGATATATAAAAATATTAACTCTGTTAAACAAAAGATACATTGTGATACCTAATCATATATAAGATGCATAGTGATACCACAGTGTTACATCTTCGATCGACCACACAAACGACATCAATGTGATACCCAAACACATATATGATGCATTGTGATACCATTGTAGTATCACCGGAGGACGGTGGCCGCAGAGAGAAGAGAGGAG